AGCATTAATTTAATTTATTGATAACAAGGGATTTGATAGTCCATCTACACCATCCTCTCCGTTAAACTAAACTTTAAAACTAAATTTACTTCTGCAGGATCCCCAAAAGCATTCTGTTTCAAGAGTAAATAAAACAAAAATTAAGAGTGACAACTATTTTGACTTTTGAAGTTCATTTATCATGCTGTGTTGTAGCCTACAGAGTGCATAATTCTTCTTGTCATTCATGACATGTGCACATTTTACTGACGTCACGATATTACAAATTGTAGCCTTAAACATCCCTTATATGACGTCATTTTAGTGTCTACTGACTGGCTGACTGACAGACAACATACCAGCGGTGGGAATGGTTAAAACAGGTGACCCCTGCAGGAGGCCTTTGGCTTCTTTCCGGGTAAATAAAAACACTCAATACTAGCCTTTATCATCCATATACTTACAAAGTCTTCCCTTAAACTCCATTAACATTCCAAAAGCTAACACCACCCTATTAAAAACAATAAAACTATCTTACCTAAAGATGACTTTTACCCTGCCAAAAGTTATATCTATGTCCCATAGTCCTATCATTCTCACCATTAAGTACAAAAGTATTATGCTTCAGCACTACCAATTCCCTTTAAAAATTAATGCAATTGACATGTTAACCTTTCCGTTCCAGATGTCATCCTAGTAGCCTTCCTCTAAATCTTTTCCAACAATTCAATGTCTTTCCTAAGGTAAGGAGCTCAAGAGTGAACAAAATAATCCAAATATGGCCTAACCAGTAACCTATACAATGAAATTATAACCTGTTTAGACTTGCATTCAATATTTCTGTAAATACACCTTAAAATCCAATTTGCTCTGCAGTAGCAAGAGCACATTGCTTGGATGACTTAACAGACTGATCAACCACAGCACCGATATCCTTTTATTCCATAATATTGTTTATTACCATTCAAATTGCGACATCCCACATGCATTACCTTGCAGTTATAATTATTCAAAGCCATTTAACGTTTATTCACCTAACTCACCAAATAATCAAAACCCTTTTGTGGAGCATCATCCTCCTCCTCACAGCCAGTAATGCCCAAAACCTTGATATTTATAAGCAAATTTAAGCAGTTTATTGACTATTTGAAAATGAGCAAAGGTCTTAAAACTGAACCATGAAGCACCCCACTTGTGACATTAATCCAGTTTGACTGAATTGAATATATAGCAACCCTTTGCTTTCTTCCATTCAGCCAGTTTTTTATTCAATGGACCAACCTATCCCCCATACCTAACAGATAACTATTATAACAAGCCATTTATGTGGCACCTCGTCAGATGCCTTCTGAAAATTCAGAAAAATCAAATATCCACTCGTATTCTCACCTACATAAACAATAACCTATTCAGAGAATGTCAAAAGATTAGTAAAGCATGTTAAAGCCATGTTGACAACCCAGAAACATACTAAACTTAGTTAAATGACTTTACAAACTATATTTTATCAGACTTTTGAAGCTTTTCCCACAACTGATGCGAGACTAACAAGCCTATGATTACTGGGACAATTTTGATAACCTTCATTGAAAAGAGGAGTAACAATGAACAACTTCCAATTTTCTGACACTTTCCCATCCTTCAAGGATTTATAAATATAGCAATTGGCTCACGTTTCTAATCCTTAAACTGATTCAAAACCCTAAGAGAAATACTACCTGGTTAAGAAGCTTTATCATTTTTCCATCTTCGCACTCTTTTGTTAACAAGCTGAGAATTAATGTGATCATTTTGTTCGATCTTATTTCCTTCTAGCAAATGTTTAGGATAAGTAATATAGCTATTATCTTCCTTAGTAAATATTGAAGAAGAGTATAATTTTAAAACCCAGCCATTTCATAATCACCAGATATAAGCCTTCATATGTCATCTCTCAAAAGCCCTACTCCTATCCTACTATTTTACGTACCCTTAAAAAGAAAGTTTTATTATTATTTTATTACATTTCAATTTACCCTTCGTATACCCTTTTAGCTTTCTTGATATCTTGTTTGATCAACACTCTTGATCTTCTATAATCCTCTAAATCTATCATCATAGCAGTTAT